TCCATATGATATTAAAAGACATCAGAAAGTCCCCTTTGGCTGTCTAGGGGACATTTTGTTCCTAGTTTTGTGGGGACCCCAGTACATCTGAGGATGCCCATACTCCTGCCCCCAAATTTATATTTGTAAAGCATATTTTGGGCCACTAGAGGGTGTGAGAGTAACCGCCCAGAGTAGACACATTCTAAATGGGTGGTATACTACTACTACTACTACTACTACTACTACTACTACTACTACTACTACTACTACTACTACTACTACTACTACTACTACTACTTTTCATTTAACAGAACCCCCTAATAGCAAATTTATTACACAAATAATAATAATTAATATGTAAATTGTCTTATTTGGCTTTGTCATTCTCTCTTTAGTCCACCCATTTAGAAGTGTGGCCCTCAAACCACCAGAAAAATCATATTCTTCACCACCCAATTTGTACCACTAAATACCAGGAAAACTGTTGCATCCCCACCTTTGAATAGTATAGACCTCCTAGCCATTTTCACTTTATTTAGCAGTGTTTAGTAAAATACTGAGATATAGTAAAAAATACTGCACTAACAAATATTTTCAAAGATATGATCAATTTGTAGTCTGAATATTAGCTAAAATTATCTTAAAGACCATAGCTGACCCCGGTCGTATCCCTACTTCAGGGAGAGAACAGGTTGGTGCCTCATCCAATTCTATTTTCTAAAGTTTATCAGTTAACTCTTTCTTCAGCACTGGCAATGAACCAGCATCACTCACTGACACATGAATGCAGCAGGCTAGTTTAAGAGCTGCAATGCCCTCTCATCCAATATAGCCATCACCTGGTTTTGAGAATGGCTTAGAGCAGTGATGGTGAACCTATGCCACTCGTGCCACAGCTGGCACGCAGAGTCCTTTCTAGGGGCACGTGAGCCATAAGTCGCTGGATCACTACTCCCCCACCCCCGTAGCCAAGCCTCAGGAGGCAGCTGCAGCCGCGGTGCTGGTGGTTCAGCAGGCGGCGGGTCAGGATCTGGAGCAGCTGACACTGGTAGTGGATCCAGAGTGGGGTCTTGAGGCACCTCCATGCCCGGGATTCCCCTTTCCGCCAGCACTTATGGTTCCACTGTGGTGGCACGCTGCCTGATGGTGTTTTTTTTCCATCCCAGTTTGGGCACTTGGGCCCAAACGTTCGACGCCACTGGCTTAGAGTCTAGCATTTCAAATTTATCTGGCTGTCTATAGAGCTCTGCCAGCTGCTTTTTACAGCATGTTTATGTAGAACCCCTCTGGCCTATGAGGGGCAGTGATACTTGATGAGGACATCACAAAATGGTATTGCTTTGCTTCCTAATTAAGATAGAGGAAGATCACAAGCCATGCCTAGTATAATTAGGACCATCTTTATACAAGCCCCACATTTTTTAAAAAAAAGTATTTTGTAGGAAAAATTCTTCACGTTAGAGAATGTGGGGTCAGATATGGCCCTTCAAGAGCCATTGATGGATACATAAAACCCCTGGACCTCTGGAGATATCACCTTCCTGGTTTGTCATTTCAACTGGAGGTGCCTTTAAACATGCCCACAGCAGGGGAGGGGAAAGATTTCCTATGGATATATCTCAATACCAGCATAACAAGGCCTGAAAAACTGGACTCTGGGATGGACCCAGTTGCTAAAATTCATAGCATGTGGCTGTTCTTCCTCAGCCAGGAAGGGAAGGTGAAGTTATACACATTGTTCCAGCCTTTCAGACATTGTCGCAATAATTTGGGAGAATACTACAAAAAGCAAATTCCATACTAGTCTTAGTGCCATACGGAGGCTTCCTGAGTTTGGAAATTTTGGACTTAAATATGATGTATTGATATATCAAATATATGTTACGATGCATTTGCTGGTAACAGGAAACAGTACCGCACACAATTCAGAAATATATATGGCCACAAACTGCTCATGTAAAACATTACTGTTATCTCCTTCCATGGCTTTTAACATATTGATTATAAACCATCACACCCTGGTCTGAGTCATTTTTCAGTAGTGGTGATGGACACTTTGGGCATACAATGAAATGGAGAAATAACCTGCTGGCATTGTCTCACCCAGTTAAAAACAGCTGTATTGATTAGGTGGCCCTTTTTGTCAGTTTACTTTGTCAGATAGTCCATTCCTCCTGTAAAAGGTTTTCACAGAGCTCATAAGACAATGAAACACTCTGCATTGTAAACAGTAAAATGAGGTAAAACAGCAACATACTTTATCTTTAGAATACTTGTCAGAAAATATGAATATCCAACAATTAAAATCTCTCTCTCTCTCTCATTCCCTTTCCATTTTTTTGGCATCCCTGAAGCAGGACTTAGTCCAACATAATCCAACACTTGTTTGCATAATTCCCCCTTTCACTATCTTGATTCTTTTTGATGAGCACCCAGTCAAGCTGTTTGTCAGAGGTGGGGAAAAGGTGGCTAATTCATGTGAGCTAACATTTGACACAAACATATAGGAAGAGTTATCACAGGAATGTCATGCTCAGTTCACAGATGTTACATTGCACTATTGATGGATTTAAAATTTTCCTGCTGTTAACGCTTTAAAAGCAAAAATATTAAGCAGGACTCTCAGATAAGATTACATTTTATTAAGATTTTATTAATTTTTTTTAAATTGCTAATAGAAACAGCACTGTGAGTGCACCTTGGTGTTACAGTGCTTTACAGCTGGGTAATGTGACCCCAGTAATGCAATGGAGAAATTTCATTCTCTGAAATCAGTTCAGTGTAACCTTCCACATACCGTATATAAACATAAATGCTGTACAAATATTTGCTCTAGTCTAAGACCCAGTGGGCCGAGAGCTTAAACTCTAGTTTCAAATACACTTAATCAGAATAAAACATTTTATGTAAGAAAAGTAGGTTGAGAGAAACCTTGCGTGATGGAGGACCACTTCTAAAGGAGACCAGGGTCTAAATTTTGCATTTTCCTAATGAAAAATGTATGAAAACTGTTCTGTTAAACCAATAAAGAATAATCAGCATCAAATAGAAGCTTGATATTATCGTTAATATCTGCTTTCAGAACAGATCAAATAAAAACTGAAATGTAAACATACATTTTTATCAAAATGATCGTGGAGAATAGTATGGTTAATGTGCATGTATCTGAACATAGGCATAGTTCACAATTACCATTAAGTTAATGCATGATTGTTATCATTTGTTTTAAAATGTCCCAGTTTTAAACATCTACAAAAATGTGCACTCATTGCATCAAGGGCCAAATCATGCCTTCTGATGTGTGTATTCAGGGCTCACTGAAACTGGTAGAAACTATGTGCATGCAGCAAGAAAGGATTTCGGTCCGCATATTCTGAAAATATCAGCATAATATACTCTAAAGCTATTTTAGTTCTTCAATGGTGATGATAACAGTGGAGTTTGCTAGCTATGCTTTCAGAAAATGCATGATCTCTCACTGCAGCATCACCTTTAAGGATCATTGCTCCTAGATCCACTGTGATGCCTTAACTGGGGTATTTCTGTGGTATAATTCAAAGACTAAGGTTCATACATCAAATTGTAAGGACACCCATAAAGGCCATATAATCTATGTGCCACTTGGCCATGGTATTACCTAAATCAACACAATAACATCCAATCCTGCAGACACTCATATTCTGCTGCATAATGGTTTGCAGGATCTCTGTCACAGATATTTTCATGATGAGCCACTAAGTTAAACCAAGAACCTGAACATTGCGTGGAAGTTCCTTGCTTTAAAAAAAAAAAGCTTTCCATTCAATTACCTTATTTTTTTTTAAAGACACAAGTAAAATTTACACAAAGTTAGACACTTTCCCCACCTAATTTCAATGAGAAGAATAATGTTTGTTTAATTGGCTTCCAATAGGAATTAAAAGTGGCTAGCATTATCTTTATAACCACTTAATTCCAAACTGGGGAAGATTTGATGCCATCCAACAGAAATAACATCTACAGTCCGAACAGCACTTGTAGTTGGCTAATCTAAACAGAACTATCCTCTGCAAGAGGTGGCCTTTCCTTAATTGTGGATTTTATGTCCCATGCAAAAATGAAAAATGTGTAAAGGGGAAAAGTTCACAGCAGTGAAACTATGGAAGTTTGGCAGATAAGTACACTATCAGCATTATTTGGGATTGACAGCAGCCATTATAATACTGTGTTTCTAGAATATGTGAACATGTGTAGTGAGGGGATTTCTGAACAGAGTGATTGCGAAGATCCCCAATATCATAATCATTCATGCTTTTGCATGTAATGGAAAATTCAGCACACTATTAAAGTTATGAGACATTTCTGATTAAGCAGAAATGTAAATGATAGTTGTTTGCTAGGAATTCACTGACAGGCTATTTTTATAAAGCTTCTGGAATGCCCCAGTTTTGATAGACAAGTGCTATTGCAATGCTAGAAGATTCCACATTTGTGAATTACAGTCTGCAAAATTTCAAAAATGTCTTTGCTTTGGTGGCTAGAAGGATTTGCTCCCAACGGTCAGGACAAATGACTTTCCTAGAAAGAATAAAGTGTTTTTTGTTGCAGTCTAAAATAGTATTTCCAATTAAGTTCAATGCACGGTTGCATTCCTGCATTTGAAACATTTCTCAGAAAAGGCAAAGTTAGTTGACTGTTTCTGATGTAAAGGAAGAAGACCCTGCATATTAGCTGGATCACAAAACAGATGGCCCCATACATGAATCTGTGACAGCTACCACCAAGGCAATGCATTTTTGAGCCTATCTGTACCTCCTTCCTCACACCTCAATGCCCTACTCGTGACATGAACTTTAATTTGTGAATGCACCCAAAGCATCCTCCCAATTTCTAGGTGTCTTTTTGTAAAGGTATAGTGATTTATTTATTTTTTAATTTTAAGCTACATCGTTTGTTTTTAGACCTGGGAGATAATGACCTTCAGGTTTTTCCCCTCTTCTTGCTCTTTTTTGTTTGTCTGTCTGTCTTTTCTCTTCAAGGTCTCAGTGTGGGAAACATGTTCTATGTCTTTTCTGATGATGGAATCACAATAATACAACCCACTGACTGTGAGATCCAGAGACATGTGAAACCGAATGAGAATGTTTTTCCAAGTTATGTAAGTTTGGGGTCATTCATATCCAAGATAACTGTAATTCTGGCTTGGTTGAAAACAGAAAGCCCAGCTCTCCCATCAATCAAAGTTGAGGCCAATCCTCTAGAAGCAAAGAAAGTTCACAGAGGGAAACAAAAAGTCATTTTACTTGTTATTATTTTTAAAGTTGTTTTTAATTACCAGTGTACATAATGCCGGGCAAAAGTGTTTGTGGGAACTTGTCTGAATAATGACTGGCTTTGGTTCTATAGTGGGAGGGAACATTTGCTACTCTACCAGTGGCAAAATGGCTTGGTTCATTCCCAGCAAAAATACTGAGAAAGAAATATAGGATAATGATATAAATGTGCCTGAGAAGAAATGCATATTTTAAATCTGGTAAATAAGGTATAACTGCTGAATTTCACAGACCCTCTGTTTTATGCGTTATCCTGGACAAAATGAAATATAGCTAGCTTCACATCAGTCTTTTGAAGCAGAAAAATATATTCCACTTAAAATGCAGGCTTTGTTCATGCTGGAGAGACACGGAGGCATTCTAATGAAGACTCATTAGCTGGACAGCTGAATCATCCATAAAGCCTTACTGAGCTTTCTCTTTCACTGTTCCTGGACTCTAAGAAATTTAGGCTCTGCAGCCCAGCCTGCCAAGGTGAAGGGAGGGGCTGCATCAAGAAGTACTGGCCCCTATTCAGTAGGTCTCTTGTTGGTATGTCTCTAGACTGGAGACTGTCTCTTGAAAAAAGTTCTTTTGCATCATTAGAAATGGGCATTTGCATTAACCAATACTGTTTAATAAATGCAGCCAGTTAACTATCAGATAGAATCTTCACAGATACCGGATAGATGCAATATACAGTATATCTTGAAAGCATATGTACATCTTTGAGAGTTCCATGATTAGGAAGAAACTGAGCGCCAGATTCACTTTTCTTTTTGAATTACAGAAAACAAAATCTAAAACTAGTAAGATGTATATTTGAAAAATGCAGGCAAATGCATGTTAGTAAAGAATGAGTATATATTTGGAAAGGTAAAGATAAAGGTTCCCCTTGACAATTGTCCAGTCGTGTCTGACACTAAGGGGTGGTGCTCATCCCTGTTTCCAAACCATGGGCACTTGTCCGTAGACAGTTTCTGTGGTCACATGGCCAGCACAACTTAGACACGGAATGCCGTTACCTTCCCACCGTGGTGGTACCTATTTATCTACTCACATTCTAACATGCTTTCGAACTGCTAGGTTGGCAGGAGCTGGGACAAGCGACAGGAGCTCACTCCATCTTGTGGATTCAAACTGCTGATGTTTCGACCTTGCAGCCACCACATCCCTATTTGGAAAAGCTCCTATCAAAGTATACAAGAATGGCCACATGGAAAGAAAAAAGATGCAGAGCCCCGGAGAAAAATCAGATCATATGAGAATGCTGGCAGGATTCTAAGAAACGCAACAAAAACAAAACTGACTGATTGTCATATGCCTGTGCAATGCACTTGAATATTTAAGAGAGGCTATAGAATAACAGAACATAATTGCTGGTATGAATATTTAGATAGTTCGTTAGTACTGGCAGAATACTCTAAACCCTGATCTGAGGAGGAGTGGAATCAGGTGGTGACTAGCAGGGAGACTGCACACTGTAGTGGCCCAACTCTGTTCATTAGCTACCATGAGCAAGGCAAGATCACAAAGCACATCGGATGAGGTGGGACAGGGCAGAGCCAGCTTTGGATCTGTACATATCTCTGCTGGACAAATACCTGCTTTGGATGCATCTACCACATATTCTGGCAGACAATATGCTTAGCATCTATTTAGGAACAGATCTCCTGAAGTGATGATAGACATCTGTTCTCCCAAATGGTTCTCCTCATCTTTGCATCTTACTTTCAGAGGTGCTTTGTTTTTGTGTTCATCAGAAAGCAAATGCAGGCTTAAATCTTTAAGGAAATCCTATTGTTGAAAGGGAAGTGGATATAGAGTCTTGTGGATATAATGTCTTGTTTCACCTTCAGATATGCCACTTTGGAAATGGCACCGCTAATTCCCCCATGGATTACTGTGGAGGAGGGCTTAAAAATCTCTTCTACAGAAAAGATAGCAAACTCACACACCCAGGTCCACCCACCCACACCTTCCATTCTGGCCAGTGCAAGCCATCTTGGGATTCATGGTAAAGCATTAAATACAATACATCCTTCTCATCAATCCCATTCAGGAGTATTCCTTTTAATTACTTCCAGCATTTGTTATCTGCTCTTCAGCCACAGTTCCCAGAGCATGTTATAGATAATTGTCAAAGGCTGGCCATAATGAAAAAGTATGGCTAAAAGAGAAACGTACAACAAATTGCAAAAACAAAACAAAACAAAATAAATCTTGCCTAACAAACAAATCACAGAAGGCTGTAAATGTCCAGAAGAAAATATACAATTTAAAAAAAAAATAAAGAGTGCAGTGTATGCTACACTTCTCAATAGTGTTTTTTTTTAAAAAAAACTATTCATAACGATGATTAATGTATGTTGTAATTAATGACCAATATACATTCTCAGGGCAGCTTAATAGAGAGTGGATCATATAGATACAAATATTACGTAACAAACAAAGAATTCCAGGGAATAAAAAAAATTGTAGAGGCTTAAAATAAATGAAGAAAACAAATAGCGCAAGGAAATGGAACACCCTTCAGTTAGTGCCAGAAGCCTTCTCAGTGGTTGCTTCCAAGTTTTGCCACTTCATAATGAAGGGAGCTGTTCTTCCCTTCTTCAAATTTTCTTCTGCCAATAAGCAAATGCCTTTTCATTGTGATCAGCCTCTGACAATTTATGAGCCACTTATGAAGAAACTTCTAACAGATGGGTATGGTACTTTGAAGAATTTTAATCTCTGGGTCTTGGGTGCGTGCTGCGCACTTAACTTTGCTTTCAATTATTAATTGTTTTCTTTTTCTTTATTATGGTTGTGAGCCATCTCGACTCCCATTGTGGGGAGAAAGGCAGGTTTTAGGTCAAACAAATGAACAAGCAATAAAATAAACAAGCACAGGAACCCAGTGAAGTTCCCTACGGAGGGCAGTTCAAAGCAGACCACCACCACCTCCATCTTCCTTTCTATAAGAGGGGCATCCAGAGAAGAGCCTCAGATTAGTATTGAGGTTTTTTAGTCTACAATCTTCAAGAAGAAGCCTTAAATACCGCTGTCATTGCAAAGGCCGAGGGTTATGGGAGTGGACATGCAAAGGCAACTTGGAAAACCAAGATGTTAACAGCCTATCCTTCGGGATTATATATAACATTAAGCCAGAGGAAAAAGTGTAAGATGTGGTGTTTCACCACTGGAGGCCAGGGGGACCTATATCTCCCAAGATGTTGATAAATTACCAGTTCCATATTCTCTCACCCCTGGCCAGACTGGCTTGGCCTGGTGAGAACTCAAGTTCAAAAACATTGGGAAGTAGCAAGCAGCACCTAGCTGGACAGAATCAGGAGTTAGTACAATGTCATCTAGAAGGGACTTATAGACCATTAGTAAAAATAGAATATGCACAGTGGTGGAAATAGTTTCAGCATGACTGTATTAATAGAGGAACACTACTTACAATACAACTCTTCATTTTCTCATTCCTGAAGATAGAATGGAAGGCTAGCTGTCACACTCTAATCTGGAAGAAGTCAAGTAATGCATATTTTTTTGTTTATTTCATAGTATTTTTATATCACTCTAACAGTGCAAGGCACTATTCCGGGCAGTTAACAAATGATAAAATCAAAGAGAAATAACAGTAAATCAAACAACAGCAATAACAATAACCTTTGAACTGCAGAGCTGTTGGGGCCCTATAAATAAAGACCCTTACAATACAACTCTTCATTTTCTCATTCCTGAAGATAGAATGGAAGGCTAGCTGTCACACTCTAATCTGGAAGAAGTCAAGTAATGCATATTTTTTTGTTTATTTCATAGTATTTTTATATCACTCTAACAGTGCAAGGCACTATTCCGGGCAGTTAACAAATGATAAAATCAAAGAGAAATAACAGTAAATCAAACAACAGCAATAACAATAACCTTTGAACTGCAGAGCTGTTGGGGCCCTATAAATAAAGACCACATCACATCAACTAAAACATCTGTGATGTCTTAGCATGCTCTGTACATCTGTGATGTTTAAGTGATCATGTACCAGCATGCTGAGACATCTATAAGGCATCTTCTGGCTGCTTTTTCCATGTTTGTTCTGTTGCTTGCCTAGTAATCTGTAAGTGGTCCACATGTTTAGACATTGCTCAAGATGATTCATCTATCCAGCTAGAAAGTCATCTGCATAGCCTTATACTAGCCAGTACATGACATGAGATCCTATATCATGTAAAGGGTTACATCTTCACCAACTGGTCATTTAATATACAGATGTTATAGGGTTATTTACTTTGGTGATCCTAACACCGTTTCACACATAGCCACAGCTATACATTTAGCAACAAGAGTGTGTCCTCTTCCTGTTTTAAGAGACAGAGACCATTCCTATGGCAAAGTAAATTGTGGTTCTTTGTCTTCTCTACATTCACATTATTGGTAGATTCAAGAAAATTATTTTATTTATTATTTAAAATATTTATATGCCATCTTTCTCCCAAAGGATCCAAGGCAGCTTACAGCATTAAAAGAAAAAAGAGTTAAAAGCTAAAATGATAAATTATTATCATTTGTTATAATTATGACATATATATGTGTGTGTTTTCATTTTATGTTGTAAGCCGCATAGAGTGGTCGCAATGACCAGATAGGCGGGGTATAAATGGAATAAATAAATAAATAAATAAAATTATTACAATGTTTAGAAAGCATGAAACAGATAGCATGTTAAAACTCATAAATAAGAGCAATATTAAAAGCTCAAGTGAAACAACAAGAAAAAAATCCCTTCACAAACATCGCCTTGGTCAACCCGTCATTTAAAAGAAAGACTGTCTGAAGAGTACAACAAGAAAAAAATCCCTTCACAAACATTTCCTTGGTCAACCCGTCATTTAAAGGAAAGACTGTCTGAAGAGGAAGGTCTTTGTCTGCTTGCAGATAAATAGCAAAGATGGTGAAGGAAAAGGAATAATGTTTTCCCTTTCTCAGAAAATTTGTGTTAGAAACTTTAAACTGGTCTCCAGGCTAAACTGAAATGCTTAAATACCCAAGGATTTAAGAATAAGCCACAGGACAGTGTGCCCATTAAACTTGGATGAGTGCTTTCCTCCCACAAAACAAGATTTATATTGTTAATAAATACTGACAACCCAATAATTCTGCTTATAACCAGTCAGGCATCAAACATTTGTTCAGCACCATACTAGAGTTCTTGTTATATTATATATTGTTGTAAGTGGGGCCATGCCAGAAAGATTCTGTCTTCTTCAAACCTTGGGCTTCACTTAAGGCTGCTGATACCTGTGTCTTAGGGGAGGATGCTGCCCTTTTGGCCAAATAGGGTTTAGCACTTAAATAAGGAGTTTACTGTTCACCTGAAGAAGCACCTGACGGAGCTCAAGTAAATAACAATGGATAACAACCACAGCATATCTACACTCTTGTTTCAGGAAAGAACTGAGCCTCCCAGACAGCCTGGCCTTCATATTGAGCAGTCTGCCCTGAACTGAAATCACAACTCTGTGCTCCAAGTAGCACAGCTGGCAGAGTAAAATGGAAGACAGTCCAAAGATTGGTTCCATGATTCTGACTGCATAGGCAAATCCATCACCTTTACTTAATGCTGTCTGTTTCTTTTCCTTTGTAGATGTACTGTATATGGCAGATGGGCAGGATCATAGCACTGAACATAAACCTGCTTTCATTCTTTCTTATTTCAGGCTGAAATCTGTCCTAGAGTTGAAGGTGAAGCCGTTCAGTCCTGCCTCTGGGCTTCTGCTGTCAATGTCAGAGACAAATATATTTACATAACACAGCCTACGTGGAATAGAATAATGATCCTAGATATCCAGACTCAGAAAGTCATTCAGGTAAATTTCCAGCATCAGTTCATCACTTGGAAAGGATGGGGGAAATAGTTTGATGATGCCAAGAGTTTGGCATCTTCCGAAAGGAAATTCCAACGATTGATGGATGTTTTCATTTTAAAAACATCAGGTTTGCAGCTTGAAATGACATACAGGAAGCTGAAATAGGTATTAAAACTGTATCAAAATTACATATGTATTCCTTACCGTTCAACAGTTTTTGACAATGAGAATGTTACTGCCTTGACAGTGTACATCACAATGAATAATACTGATGACTATATATCTGTAGATCTAACTGCTGTACTGTAGACTACAAGTACTCTAAAAATCCAGTGGAAACATAGACTTGGAAACATGTAGGATTGTGTGGTAAGGTCCCACTCCTATACAGTTAATTCAGTGGGATTGGCTTGAAAAACAAAACGTGTGGGGCTTGGCTGTAAAGCAGCCAAAGGCGCTCCTGATGTGAAGTTATGGTTGATATGAATGACAGCAAGACAGGGGCTTCACAATTTTTCTTGATTAATCAAAAGCCCATCAACATAAAGCTTCAAAAACTGGAATTTTGAGAACACTTGTTTTTCAACATAGAGGAAGTATCAGAGCTGAGATACAGCTGAAAATATATAAACAACAAAACAAATCCACACGACTCAGCAGGTTCTGAATGAGTCGGTGACTTTAATGTTCCCCACACACAAACACTTTTTTGTGTGGGAGACCTTGTACTCTGGTGTGAAATCTTGTAGTATATGTTGGAATAATATAAATATTCTAGATAAAGTTTTTGCTACCACAGAATCTGTGCTATCCATCTGTGTGGAAGTTGTGTATAAAACAGAGATGACAGAGATAAAGGACTGAAAGGAGAGCAGTCACCTTCCATTGCACTAGATGTGAAGCAAGCCTGTAGAGACTTACAGCAATGCCACATAAAGATATAGTCAATGACATGCAGTGGTCTGTTGTCAAACCTCTGGCACAGAATGTGTACCTCCCTTCTCATAAGCAAGATCTAATGGAATTGTTTTTGTTTCTTTAAAGTCTTTGGATGTTGACCCTATACCTGTAAAACTACATTATGATAAGTCACACGATCAAATTTGGGTACTTAGCTGGGGAAATATGAAGAAGTCGCATCCAACTCTGCAGGTAAGACCCAAGCAAACATAATAGCTAATCCACAATTTCTCTGTAGATAATTATGAACATGTTCTCTTAGAAGCCTTAGTTTCAGCTCTTTCCTGTTTTTATCTCTTACCGCAATTTATTCTCTTTTCCATAGTTTCATAATGCAAATGCAAAGGTTTGTGTAAATATTCATTCATTCATTCACTGATTGATTAATTGATTGATTGATTGATTGATTGATTGATTGATTGATTTGATTTGATTTGATTTGATTTGATTTGATTTGATTTCTATCCCAACCATCTAGACCAAAGTTCTATTCTGGGCAGTTACAGATACAACTTGTGGATCCATTATGTAGTGTATATACTTAAATTTGTAAATTACAGTAACTGATTATTCATGTGCCAGCTGGTGGAGTAAAGATCATTGCAACTACAAATCCAACTCTACCTTTATACTTGTCAAATAGCTCTTGACTCAAAAGACACTGCTATTAATAGAAGAGAAAGGGATGGGTTTTGCCCACTCTGCTTTCCCCATCCAGTTTCCTGAATCCCTCAGAAATGGCATGGTAACCCTCAGCAAAAAGAAAAAGGAAAAAAGGGGGGAAAGGGGGGCTCCCTTTCTGTTAGCAGAAGCATCCTCTGGGTGAAAACCCATTTTGTATGCAGAATGTACCACTATTTTCCATCCATTGTGTTCTGTTGTAAGGAGTAGCCTCCGTGATTCTCAGGTCCAAGACACACATTTAACACAACCTTCAACAAGGGAAAGGGAACCCACTTTTAATTATTTCAGTTAATATTTTTTTACTTTGGACAACTATCTATTTTATTCCTTTTTCTCCCTCCCCCCTTTGTTCTTCCCTTTTCTTTTCCTCAGGCATCATCTGCCTTCTCTTAATCTTCTACCTTAAAAGAAAGAAAGAAAGAAACCACATTTGCAGTATGATCTACTAGTCACACTACATGAGTCATGAATCAGTTGTGATTTGACAAGATGAAAATAAGTTCCTTTGAAATATAGCATTGAAAGAGACCTTTACAGATATCACTAGAAAGGCACATAAGTGGGTTCCAGATCATGTCAACTTTGAACTCTCACTAGAAGCCTAAATTACTAAACTGAGGTGATCACACTTTATACATATCATGAGATGTCAAGACTTACTGGAAAAGACAATAATGCTAGAACCAATTGAAGGCTGTAGGAAAAGAGGAAGAGTTAATATGTGATTAATTGATAAAAGAAGTTTATCCTTAGTTTGCAAGACTTGAGTTGAGCTATTAATAATAAAATCTTTTGGAAGTCATTAATTCACAGGTTGCCATAAGCTGGAAGTTATTTGACAGCACATGACCTACAAAGACTCATTTTTTACTGTAATACAACTGTGATCAAGTAAAAGAAGGTCCACAGCTGAGTTTCTTGAATATGCCCCCCCCGGGCAAGTCTGGCACATTTGAAGGGGGCCAGAGACTGGAAAGAATTCTTCATACCCCATCTTATAAAGTTGAATAAATGAGTAACTTTATTGCAGTATACAACCATAGGAATACATCTAGCACATTTACAGAATAATACCCTGGTAACGTAAGGGAATATCCACAGAGAATTAAAAATGCAAAGTTTAACATTTTATTTAGAATTTGAACCTTCTAATTAACCCATCTTCTTAGTATGAAATTTAATCACATATAAGCAAATTTTAGCTATTTGTTTAGTAATAAAAGAGTTTTCATCTTTTAAAAGTCTTTCCAATCCCTCCTCATTTGCATCTGCTGTTAATCTATCTAAACATGGCAGGATAAGTCTCTCCCTGTGTGGGTGGAGAAAGGGACAACGAAAAAACATATACAGTAAACCATCTATTCCACCTCCCCTTGGAGGCATGGGCAGCATTTATAAGGAAACGCCTTATAAAGTTTGCTATGTGACTTATACAATCCTGATGCAGCCTATACTTTTCCATATGGCGCTTATGACATGGCAAAATCACTGCTTTTCACAAAGAGGCACCTAAGAAAGGGGAGTGGAGATCAACTCATTTGAAATGTGTTATTAAAGGTGAATCTTACAGATACAATAGGCCACCAGAAAGGCAAGTTGATGGGTTCTCAATCAAGCTAAAATGAGTAAATTAAGGCTATCCTGCCTTGTATATAATTAAAAGCCACCTGCTTCTTGGGAGAAGAGCTATGACAAACTCAGACAGCATCTTAAAAAGCAGAGACATAGTCAAAGCTATGGTTTTTCCCGTAGCAATGTATGGAAGTGAGAGCTGAACCGTAAAGAAGGCTGACCTCCGAAGAACTGATGCTTTTGAATTGTGGTGCTGGAAGAGACTCTTGGGAGTCCCCTGGACTGCAAGGAGAACAAACCTATCCATTTTGAAGGAAATCAACCCTGAGTGCTCACTGGAAGGACAGATCCTGAAACTGAGGCTCCAGTACTTTGACCATCTGACGAGAAGAGAAAACACCCTGGAAAAGAACCTGATGTTGGGAAAGTGTGAAGGCAGGAGGAGAAGGGGACGACCGAGGATGAGATGGTTGGACAGTGTCATCGAAGCAACCAACATGAATTTGACCCAACTCCAGGAAGCAGTGGAAGACAGGAGGGCCTGGCGTGCTCTGGTCCATGGGGTCACGAAGAGTTGGACATGACTTAATGACTAAACAACAACAACAAATCATCTTGCCCACACCATAAGGTGTCACAGCTTGAAACTGATCCAAAAAACCCCTCACAGGATGGTGCACTGGACACCTCAGCTTAAGCCCCTGGACAAGTAACATCAAGGTCGCATAGAATGACTCTGATTTTCAGTCTAAAATAAACTGCTTGTCGATTACACATACAATATATGAGTCAGGATGTTAAACATTTGTCTATCCAGAGATGCTATCCAAAAGAGCTCTCTTCCCTTTGCTCTCCAGCCCTCTCCACACTTGCTTCTTCATTTGTATTCCATCTGTGAACCATGTGAAAGGATGAGCTCTGCAATGGAGAGGATGTTCAGATGCTGTCATGTCAACCATCCAGGATGCCCTGGTTCACCAGTTGGCAACCTGGGCTTCAACAGGAGGGCCCACCAGATCATAAGGAAAAACCCCTACAGCCTCCTGGAAACCAACTGAATCTGGTAGCCTTCAGGGGCAGACCATTCTAGTAGGTTCAGTCTCCCCACAGAGTCAGGTCACCAGTGTAAGACTAAATTTCAAGAGAAAATATTGATTTCCTGTGTCAGTGCGCTCATGCAACAATAACTAAAACATCCAAAACATTCTAGAATAATGTATAATTCCATTCCTCTGTTGATTAAAAAAACTGTGCACCCTGGAAACAACTGAGTACTCTTAAATCATTTCCTGAGTGTACAGTTTTTTTCAAGAATAAGTCTTTCTGGTCCCAAGGCCAGTGGCCCAAATGTAAGAATCTTAGTGCAGATCATTTCACATACATCAGCATGACACCTGTATTTCTCCTACTGCTGTTAACATGGAAGAACCAAATATACCATACTTTTCTCAATTACATTAAAACATTTCCATCAAGAAATGGTGGGTTTCTCAGTAGTTGGACTGGAAAAATCTCTGTATGTCCTGACCCAAATATTTGAAGCAAAACTATAGCAGTTTCTGCAATGAATTATATATACCTGTAAATTCTGAATATAAGATTGACACATTGCATTTGTAAACAATTCTCATGAACTGTCCTCACCTATCCTAAAACACAAAATACATCCTCAAATAAGAAATGTCAATATTTTTAACATTTTAGTTTTCAGAAAGAAATGTCGCTTCTATATCTTGGTAGGATACCAGGGAAATAACAGCATACGTGTTCCATTATAACAAAGGTTTGCGTTCTCCTCAGGAATAGCCTTTCTGAAAAGAGAAAGACTCACTCTGTCCTTTTCCATATATATTTTTCCCCACTGGCGCAGTAGATATCCATTCAAAGAGATAATTAACTGCTGTGACTTCGCTGTCGGTCATTCAAGCCAATGAATTAGCATGGAGCATTTAAGTGAGATTAATAAATGTGCACATGAAAACAATGTTTATAGTAGGCAGTGCAGAAAAATTACTGCAGGTTTAGAGTGGGGATGCTGTTTCAGTGCCTGCATGGTTGCATTGTCTTTTGATATAAACAGCTTGAAAGCAGATGGGGAATTATTCTGTTACCTTGCAAATGTCACATGCACACACACACTGATGCTTTTTCATCAACAACCTTTATTTTCAGGAAGTAGGACAGCCGTCATTTTGATTTATGGAAAATGGTTAGTTACATGGCAAAAACATGTTGTTGATATAATGTCCATTTGGGAGTTTACATTTCTGTTCCTCACTTCATTGATCTGTCTGTGTTGACTATTTTGGTTATACGTTGTAGGTGATACCAGAGGCAAGTACGGGAGAGGACCAGCACATTATTCGCACTCATCTGAGTGGCATGAATGATTATTTTATTCCACCCACAAATCTCATTATCAATCACATCAGGTAAGAACCCTCTTACCCCCATTAATTTGCTCCTTCCATCTTATGAAATTATTGAGTAATCGTGAGTATGAATTGCTTTACTTGTGCTACAATTGCTGGGAGCTATACCATGTTAGGAAATAAAAACTATGCAGCTTTGCTCCCAAGGATTTCATCAACTGGAAGTCAAGAAGCAACACATGAAACAAAAAAAGAAGCATACCTGAAGCAATAACGGTGAGCAAGGCAATAAATGAGCTTCTAGCTATTCATCCACTCTCAAGTAGGGCTCCAGACAGGTCAAAACTGGGAAATATGTGTTGCTTAATTAGAGACACTGCCAAGAGTCTCTGCTATCCTGCTTCATTTTATTGAACCAACAGTTTCAGGTGTGGGTGGGTTACTCTCAGTATGGTAGGAGTCTAATGAGATAGAATACGACTTCTGTTTTGGGAGGCTGACAGATTTCCAGAAAGGTTTTGCCTCCCTTTCCCAAGCAGAAAACCAGTTCTTGCTAGACACACCACAGGACGGGCAGTCTACAAATCTTGTGTTATGCTCACAATCTCATTAGTACCCTAGGCCCAGAAAACCCCTGCAATACCTATGTTAATAAGTTAACATCTGTGGCGGTCTCCTCTGAAGGAGGAGGCCTTCACAAGGTTCTCGCTCTTCTTCCTTCTTCACTGCCACCAGGTATTGCTGTCTCAATACCATTCAATCAAGGAGACATGCGTGCTTTTAAAACTTTATTTATTTATTTGATCAGGGAAGGTAACATCTGATTAATATACAGTAGATAAATCACAGGTTGCTAATTACTTGAAATTGAATCAGTACTACTTTAACTTTAAAGCTCTATCCACTCTCTGTACCATTCAGCGTTCTCACAGATCTCTCAATCACTCTTAAGTTTCACACAGTCTCTCACTACCAGAATCTCTCTCACTCACAGATTCTCTTCTCACTCACTGAATCCCTCTCATACTCCATACACCAGCCTTTATATCCAAACCCCTCCCTCCTTGGCACCGCCTTCCATCCACTCATTGGCTCCTTCTCCACTGCTCAGCTGTGACGGACAGTTGAGGACAGGGCTGTTCGCTACAACATTTCCTCAAAGTAAATGGGTATAGGATTTGCTAACATCTCCCCAAAGTAAATGGGTATAGGATTTGCTTCTCATACTCCATACACCAGCCTTTATATCCAAACCCCTCCCCTCTTGGCACCGCCTTCCATCCACTCATTGGCTCCTTCTCCACTGCTCAGCTGTGACGGACAGTTGAGGACAGGGCTGTTCGCTACAACATTTCCTCAAAGTAAATGGGTATAGGATTTGCTAACATCTCCCCAAAGTAAATGGGTATAGGATTTATCAGAATTTGCTTTTTAATTCTTTAAAAGGAAGGTTTAGCACATTCTTGAGGCTTAATGGTTCAGAAGAACTGTAAGTGTCACTCCAGTTGCATACCATTTTCATTTGTTCTGCCAGTACTTTGAGTCCCATGTCATGTTTTTCACAGAGGCAAGTATAACCAGATAGATGACACAATAGCTCCCAGGGATGCTCAGGTGTGATTATCCTCTTTTTGTATACATTGCCATTGCTGGGTACTCAGTAATACTTTTCAGCACACACACATACACACATACACATATGCCTGTAGTCCTGCTATTTGAGGCAGCTGTGTTGTTTCAATGAAAAAGCACTTCTGAAATGCTATTTTTGCACTATAGAATACTAGGACAACAGTTACTAGGAAAATTTAGTGACTCAGACTTAGAGCCTGGCCAGACAGGTTATATAAGCTAGTTATTTGGATCATTTTTGGTGTGGTTTGTTCAAATGAAATTATGGCATCCATAGGTGTTTTGACCCCATCCCACCCCTTTTTAGAGCTATTCCGCTCCTTCCATGCACAACACTAGGGCTACTTTTTGGTGCAATTCAATGTGCTACTAATTATTCCATTGTGTAGTCCATTCAGATGGTTAGTCCCCACCAAAATAGAGCTGTGGGCAGTGTTATCTGAGGTGACAATCCTGTGATGTATCTGGTGCATTGTGGCATTGAAAGGGATGATAGATAACACACACCCCATTTTAATTTTTTTAAAATGCATTGTCTTATTGATGCAGCACTATTCTAGATATACAAGATACATTGGTCATATAACAAAGAGTGTATTTTCCTCCCATTTTTGCCACAGGATGGAAGTCCAATAGCCACAACCAGTTCTGCACACACACATACATGCAACCCATGCACAATAATTCACTCCTCTTCCCTGCCTTGCCTCTTTTTTCTGTTAATACCCCTAACCCAAAACCCAAGATCAGTTATTTGGGGGAAAGAAGAAAGAGGACTTAGTCTGTAAACAATCAAGTAAGAATCTGTGTCTGTTTCTTGCAAGAGAAAGCTCCCACCCCCCAAAAAATCAAATTAATTTAAATTTAAATCAAAACAGATAACACACTCCAGATCTAGTCCTCTCTGTGTTACGCATTAAGCTACCATGGTGCTAACAAATATGAAAACCCATTCAAAATAACACAATCCTTTACAAGTAAAGCTAACATTTAAGGCTTCAGACTACTACGTTTATCAAAAGTTTTTCTACAGAAAAGCATAACAGCGAAAGATACTTAACACTCTAAGAATTTGTTGTTGTTGTTTAGTTGTTTTGTTGTGTCTGACGCTTCGTGACCCCATGGACCAGAGCACGCCAGGCCCTCCTGTCTTCAGGAGGCACAGTGCGGAATTGAACTCCCATACTCCACAGAGCTGTCCAACAGTTCTGGATTTCATCCCTCTCTGTCTCCCAGGCACAGTGGGGAATTGAACTCCCATCCTTCAGACAGAGTTTTGAATTTCATCCCTCTCTGTCTCCACCTCCATTAAAAAAAGCACCCTTTCTTCCTTCCTTTAAAACTAAGGATGATGAACCAGATACATTGGTAGTATTATGTGTACCATGCTAGGTAGATGCATTGCTGTTTCGCTATGTCACTTTAATTAACCAAAAAGAGAAAGAAAAGTTGCAATGGGTTGCTGAATGACGGCCATGGGAAAAGGCGGGGAAGGGGGAAGGAAGGAGACTGTCATTAATTGATAGGGAGACAAACTGGAATGATTCAAAGACCTGTCTGGATCCTTCTCCTGGGAGATGAAACATCAGTCAGCGTGAACAGAAGAATTGCAAAATCAAATACAGGTAGACAGCACTAAAGATAAAAACCTTTCAAGCGGGAAACCAGACCACTCTGAATTCCCTCATCTGGACATGCCCTTAGTGTGTTTGATGACTGCATAATCCATGACATTCTAGTTTTTTGGGCAAATAAATTACTGAAGGGTGTAGAACTGGGTTGCCAATGACTGTTTTTCTCTAGTTTTCCATTGCAACCGACTCACAACAGCAGCAATTATTCTCCTAAAGCAAGTGGCAAATACATGAATCATTTCTCCTTTTTTTGCCCTATCTCTTTATTATTCATTTTCACTACAATGGAAAAATTAGCACAGCCCATGCCCGGGTGGCACGCAGATGCCTAACCTACAACCCCCATCTGCAATAGTCCAATGGTACGGTATTGTGGGAGAAACTGACTATTCTTTATTTGTAAGGACCAGCAGTTAGTAGCATGAAATTCTTGTTTAAATGCTTATTTTCTTTTTAGTGCTTTTATGTTGTATAGCAGAGTGGTGAGGAAATGTCACTCTTAGTTTATAGGGTCCCTGATTAAAATCCCAGTGCAGCCACAAGCTCAACAAGACAGTGCTCTTTCTCTCAACCCATAGATCATATAGTAATAACAACATTGGCCTGCCTCACAGAACTGGTGTAAAACCCATTTACTGGTGTAAATGCTCTGAACACTAAGATAATGTGATATCCTTTCTCTAGAATGTTACTAAACTTCCATGAGGCACTTGTGTGTGGGTTTTGATTATTTTCTTTTATTTCTTTACCAGGTTTGGTTTCATCTTTAACACATCGAAGCCTACAGTTCACAAAATTGATCTGGAGACCATGGCTCATATCAAGACCATCAGCTTGAAAAACTACAGCTGCTGGCCACAAACCATGGCTTACTCTCACCTGGGTGGATACTTCTTTGTTCAGTGCAAAACAAATCTTTCAATTCCAGTCACACCGCAGCTTATAATTGACAGTGTCACAGACTCTGTTATTGGTCCCAACAGTGACATAACAGGTACTCCCTACATCTCCCCTGATGGACGCTATTTGGTCAGCGCAGATGAACACAGCGGGAGGATCAGAGTCCAGACAATAACAATCCAAGGGGAAATCAAGTTGATTTATGACTTACAAACCACTATGCACATATCTGACCTGACATTTCAGTCCTCTTTCACTGAAGGCAATCAGTATTATATATATGCTACTTCACATTTGCAAACGGATGTGCTTTTTGTGGAGCTGTCAACAGGGAAAATGGACATCTTGAAGAATTTAAAAGACCCTATCAAATCCAAAGACTGGCCCTGGAGCAGCTACAACAGAATTATCCAAGACAGTGGATTATTTGGGCAGTACCTTATAACACCAGCAAAGGATTCACTATTTATAATTAATGGGAGACAAAACACATTACGCTGTGAGGTATCGGGTATCAAGAGGGGCAACACAGTGGTTTGGGTTGGAGATGTATGAAAGGTGAAAGAAGAAGAAGACAAAGAAGAGCAGGACTTTCAGAAAACTAAAATACTGATTGGACTTTCAACTGCAAAATAATAATAATAATAATAAAATGCAGTAGCATTGTATATTTTTACACTGAGGGAAAAACTGTATAAGCTTCATGGTGCAATGCTGGCCTACATGGAAGATTTATAATATAAGGTATGCTCTGCAAATAGGAATGGGTTGGGAATTTTTATGGAAATCTGAATTACAGCTTGAGTTTTGGGAATATACCCTTGGAAAAGGAATCATTTCTGCAACCGAGATAGTATAAGCCACATTCCTTGATGATTCTATACAACACAACGTTTGAGTTGAAAGGCTGATAAATCCTTACATTCTGGCTAGGTTATCAGTATTCATTCTGCTGATCCCACATAATATGTCCTGTTGTGTATGCCATGTGGTGATATGTCAGGCCTGTAGCTTAGACATTTTCATACAGAGAGATAAACAGATTATTATACTTTGTTGCCTACACAATCACAGTCAAAAGTTGTTGTTTTTTTTTTAAAAAAAGCTCTTTTTTTAAATGAAAATCTTATTGATATATGTGTTCGAAATAATAAATATTTTAAAAGTCAGGGAAATTGAAATAGTTAAATAGTTAAAATTTCCACCTGTCTTTAAAAAAAAAATCTCTTAGCAAGGTAAGTTGAATAATGTGGACTATATTATTATTTCTACTTAAGGCACTTCTAGATTTGTTAATAGTGGCCATACCACTGCAGTGCCCTCCAACAGCTACAGGTTTCCGCTGAAGACATCACTGTTGATGTCAAATGGAAAAGATAAGGCATCAAAACCCAAAGGTTTGGAAAGCAGTGAGAATGATAGCAATCTCATTGATTTCAGTGGCCAGAATCCTGTTGCTAAGCATACTAAATCACTCTAGAGGAGGGCTACTGAATCAATTGGGATTTGGTGGGTCAAGCCCCCACTAAGTTCCATTTATTGAAATGGACCTACTCTAACTGATCTATTTGAGCATGGAAGGCCCATGTCAGTCAATGTAACTCACTAAATGCTCACTGATTCAATGGGCCTACCTGCTATCATGCTATCTAGCGCCTTAAGCAACAGAATTTTGGTCAGTGGGTCTGCTTTAGGCATGACTACTACTGTTTCTGCACAATTCAGGAAGGCCTTTTTGAGATCAAACATGACCGTTCTATGCTGTCAGTCCTTTTTTCCTTGTACTACCCCAGTACATTCCCTTCAGACGTAGGAACCCATGACTTAGTTTTGTTTGAGATGTTTGTAAAAATAAGAGGTACCTCGGTGTCGAATGCCGGAAAACAAATGGGCAAATATGCAACTATCTTCTATGTAATCAGGAAAGAGTGCTTTTAAACTTATTTTTTAAACAGCGGCGGCCTTACAAAGTGTGCGCAATGAACTGCTGCTTTGGCAGACAGGAGAACCAGCAGTGCTGCTCCCAGCATAGAGAGAAATATTTCCAAAAGTCATTTATTCCCCTTCATTAAAAATTTGCCATTAGTTGAAGTAATTGGGTTCTTTATTTTAAAAAAGAAAAATAACTGCTGTGTCTCAAAATGCATGCTTCTCAGTAGCATATTTTAGGGGAGAAAACGTTTAGTTTTTATATAAATCAGACACTTAATTCACATCTGTCATCCAGGACCCTGGAAAGAAAGGATTTATTTTATTTTATTTCATTGCTGCTGCTGTTCACATTCTTCTCTCATTCACAGTGTTCTCATTTATAGTCAATTACCATTCGGTTATGAAAAAAAAAACAGAGTAATCTAAAACCAATTAAAATATACTCGACAACACCAGACACTGAAAATTGTGAGCTGATTTGCCATAAAACTTACATCCATTTTTACACATTTAAAGTTATGTCAAATCTATGTTCTCTTGTTATGTTTTGAAACTTCAACTAATCATGGTGGTGGTGGGGAAACAGAAAGAAGCAGAGAAGAGTGCTTACAAATTACACAGGCAAATCTAGAATAAATACATTTTTGAAGCCCAGTCACAATATATTTTTAAAAGGCATCTTCAAGTTCTTTCAAACTAACTTTCAACAGCAATGACCATTGTATGCTTTAGGCCACACAGAAACATACACAAAACCCAAATGTGTCCCATCCTTTTGTCATGAGTTCATTGGTCAGGTCCCAACAGTGACATAACAATAAAAAGTATTTATTTGCCCAGCACCCATGGAGATACAGTATTTAGAATAACTCTTAACAGTGGATTCAAACACCCTCTACCATACATTGAAGAACATGGGAAAGGGTCGTGGGGCTATCATGAGTATCATTGCCCTTCAGTGGCTATGCTCTCCTTCAAGTCTATACAGTGCATGTATGAGAAGAGAATCTGAGGTTGTACCAAAGTATCCATGTAAAGCATCTCTCTATAGGAAAGGAGATCTAAATTATCCTTGGATGAGATATCTCTGTATGTGAATCAGATATGGATGGAGCCTCTTTTCACTCACTGAATATGAGATGATAGGAGAGCATGGATGCTGGGCACATAGACAACAGGAGTGATATCCCACAAGACACATGTCTCCTTCACACATCCTTTAAACCTGTGAGTGGTCATCTGAACTCCCTGCTCATTCAGCATGATTAATAATAACTCCGTATTCATAAAGAAACCAAGAGAAGCATTTGTATATACATGTTAGCCTCTTCCCAAATGATTTCTATTCCATGCCTACTGCCGTACAATTTTTAACCAACACTGCATCTGCACTGCAAATGTAAACCACTGAAGAGCTAATCCTCCCACAGTGGAGTCTTTGAGCTGTAACTGTGCTATGTGAGGATGCTGGGGGCCCTGAGAACTCTCAATGCTATCAGAAATTTTCGATGTTCATTCCTTGGTAGAAGCCATTGCACTTTAAAATCGACTAAGTTCAGTCATATAAAGCTTACGTCAAATTGTGTTGTTTTAAAGCAATTGGCCAGCAAAGGCAAAAGAAGATGATTTAATAAATTAAGCACAGAATTATTGAAACAACCATGAAATCCTGCTGCATAATTGTATAGCAGAAAATGTAGCGTGTCCCAGCATGTTTCAATAAGAGAAAGACACAAGTGCTCTCAGCCGGAGTTGGTAGGCTTGTCACCTGTGTTCCCTCTTCTCCCCTCCTGGTCAGTGCTATAATATTGTCTTGGTTTTCTTTTCTTGGTTTCATTTCGGCTAAAGCCTTGTGCACAATTTTTCCTATGAGCCATAGGAGGTTAGAACTCAGATGTAGCCTCCACTTAGAAATATGCAGTGGTCAAGGATGGTAAAGCAAAACTGCATCATAATTTGCACTTATTTTGAAGGTGTTTCATTGGGTCTGATCACTGCTCTGATGCCCCTTTTTAATGATTTCTTGAGTATTTTACTCTGAATATGGTACATTTCCCCTCAGTTAAAACCTTTGTGACATAGGTATAGCAAAATGTTACTTTTATACCATAATTTTGTAAAAGGATCCTTGTAAATATCTCTTCAGGAAAATAATCTGAAATTATTGACATTAGGATGTGAAGGGTATGTGATAGACTTCACTGTTTCTGTTTCACCTGATGACTTGGACTAGAGTGGACTCTAAACTTTAACCCTCCAAAGATGCTCCTTTGACTAACTTTCGTCTCTAGCTCTCAAGGTCTGTTGTTGTGTCTCCTAAATATCCCAATGGCCTTGTCCTGCTTAGCAAATGATATTTAATTTAGATGCGTCACACAATTTGTGAACAGTTCCAATGATGTTTGATCCAACATAAAAAGTGCTGCACATTTACCGGTAATTATCATTTTTTTCCTTACACACACAAATATCACAATTCCTCTGTGACACTAAAGGTGTAAATTATGTTTGTCTCCTTGCAACTTTTGTTATTAAATCTCATTTGGTTGCATTTTCCGATTTATTCCTTTGGTCTGTACATAACATTTGAAGTAACACTACATATTCCTTTCTCAGCCAAGAAATTAATAGTCACAGTAATTAAGTGGAAGTAATTTAAATTGAACTAGCATGTAATTAGTTACCCTAACATGCCCATGTATCACTAGATACTTCTATTTGATGGACATTGAAATCAATGAACAAAGTAACATTTAAGATCAGGATCAAATCCCTGAGATCTGATGCACTGCTGTTTCACTGCTTAGATTAAATAAAAGACAGTAAAAAAGAAATACTATGATTATAATGGATGTTTTTTTTAAAAAAAAGACTAAAAAGGCAATGTTCATACGACCCATTTAATGTATTTAATGCTTAGCTTGCTGTGTGGTTATCCACGTGAAGCATGCTATTGTGAAACTGCATACACAGGACATGGATCCAGTTCTAATGTGGATGCCAACACTCTTGAGCAGGATACCTCAGATCCTCCCAGGAATATAGACTGTTGCCTCCCCCATCCCTTGATGGGAATGGAATGGTGGAGCAGGTCTTTATGGAGAACAAGACATATCATATCCTCCTTCAGCACTTTTGCCAGGTATTATATTTACTTCTAGGAGCAGAAGTACTGGGACTGTTTCTGTAGGCTACAGATTCCCAGTTGGTAACAAACTCTTAGTGCCTCTTAGTGCCTTTGCATGGAGCTGAAGAAGGATAAACTGAATGGAGCCATCTCCCGCTATTTCTCATGCCTGTGCATTCCTCCTTCTGTTCTGGCAGCAATAGCCTCTGCCTTGTCTAACACAAAGCACTATGAGCATGGACTGAAGGGTTATGTTGGCTGCTGGTGACTACATGTCAGGGGCTGAGGGTTGAGATTCTTTCATTTTTGAGCACTTTCAACCACTGTTATTACCATTTTTTACCATTGCTGCACCATTCCATTACAAATGCAGCTAGTACGAGCAACAGTTCTAGCCCAGCATGGAATCCGGAATCTACTTGAGAGGGTCTAAATCAAAATACTCATTTTCCAAAAGATGGGTAAGGTGCATTATAAAGAGAAGTATCCTTAGGTGGAATGGGATTGTGCTGCTCACCCAAGGCCATACAAACTGACTCCACAGGAAACACAGTGAGGGATCAAACTCCCAACCCCTGGCTCAGCCAGATACATAAACCACTGAGCTATCCAGCCAGCTTTACTTCTGAGGACCTCTCCAATAATATACAATATATTCTGCAGAAGGAACCTATCTTTATTCAAGGACATAATCCTGAATGAGATACCTACTGAATCATCTGTTTCCCATATATCCTGAACTATGTATGGAAAAACAGCTGGTGCGAACTTCGCCTAAGGAAGGACAAGAATCACCTTCACATAGCCTTGTATTTCTTGAGAGCTAGTTTAATTAAGTACTTCAGCACATAGCCCTCTGCTTTGCATGGTGTCTTCAGTGCTTGTCAGACACAGTCAGATAAAGTCGGTCAATACAAAATGACAGACAGGAAACAGGCATAAGTTCAGTGAGCAAAACAAAGTGCACTTAGTCTTAGCCAAACAAGCCCTTCCAGAGTTTTGAAAGGTT